CCACAACCCACATTTGTCGTTTATTTGTTTTTCTGTTCACGCTCTTATGTGTCTTCCTACACTGCCCTGTAAGTGCCCTGAGGACAGAGTCCTAGTCTGCTTTGTGTCCCAAGCACCTAGACTAGGGTCTGGCACATAGGAGGTGCTCCAGAAGCACTTGTTGGATGAACAGGTAGATGGAGAGCTGGCAGGCAGGCCCTCCTGAAGTGCCCGTCGTTACCACCCACCCACAAGGGGCATAGAAACTGCACTGGCTGGAGAGCTGGGTCTCTGCCTGGCTCTCACACAAACCCGAATTCTGCAGCCACATACAAGGCACTTGGGGCTCTCTGCAATGAGGGAGTCAAAGTTGATCACGCACCCTGTCTCCGGACCACCTAGGGTATGTCTGAGAGCATAAGTTGTCTTGGGGTGCGGGGATACTGGGACCGTTAACTCCAGCTCCTAGATGGCACACCCCGCATATCTGCATTCCTCTGTACACAAACTGCTCTTCCAAAGGCAAGTTCTCAGGTTGAGGTCTTTACAAAAAACCTAACCATGACCCAGGAATAGGCTGCAGCTCCCTGATGGGTTGGTATGATGCACAAAATAAAAAGTATAATCCACGTGTATGGAGCTGTCTGTCAACAGAACCTGGTTCCTTTACAAGCACCTGTGTCTGCGGAAGCTGGAGACTGCTGTGTGCCAGGCTGGGATTCACAGAGGGCAACAGTGAGCCAGTCAGAGTGCAGGGCAGCTGGTTCCTAGCACTGTGCATGCCTTCTGCATACACAGCCCACTGACCTTGACCTTGACCTTGGCTGTACACACTGGGCCCTGCAGAGTGTACAGCCACCTTAGAGCCAAGCCGTCATCTCACTGTGGCTTATGGCTGGATGGGGCGAGGTGGTAGGGATTTCAGCCCCCGTCCTTTGCTGAGGGTTCAAGGGCCTGCAGGAGGAAGCTTAGGCAGTACCACTGACAGGCACCTGGAGTGGGGGCCTCCCAAGGCTGTGTAAGGGGAGGGGGCTTGCCTCAGTAGCCAAGCCAAGGACAAGTTCTCAGACGGGAATGTTGACTGGACAAACACATTTGCAGGCCATTAGCAACCCAAAGTGGAAAGCTAAGGGGTTTCCTCTCATGTGCCATTCAGGGCACGATCCCTGAGAGGTTGGTTTATTCTGTGCCATGGAACCAGTTATAGAGACTGAGTCAGTTTGGAAGCAAAATAACCGAATTGTCTGTGCTCTGGTGTGGTCAGCGGTGACAGAGGCGTCCTGCCCTGGGTGAAGGAAGAGGACCCACTCTCTCTGCCTGGTCCCTCTGCTGGGGGCGCCGGTCTTGACTGGGACCATGGCGAGCCTCCGCCCGCTCCACCTGTGCGCTGAGTCGGCAATCCCAAGTCTGTGATGCTCGAATCGAGAATCCGTGCCTGATTCACAGAGGGAGTCTTGAGCACCGACTGGTACAAATGGACTTGTTTCTCCTGCCGCCATAGCTTTCACGTAACAATTCCCATTTCTGACCATGTTCAGTAAATTGAATTAGTGTTGAAAAGCAGCTTATTTTGTATGATGATCAGCTTCTAACCTGAGTAAACGACTTCCTTTATGACTATAAATTAAGCACATTATATCTTTTTCATGCATCATGGTCATCCTCATAAATAGTGTAGGTTGTTGCTGGCGGTCTCACTTGGTTACCTTTCCCATTACTGTTTTATCACCATCCTGGTAGGAGTGGGGAATTCATCCTGTTTTAGTAACAAGGAGGAAGTGGTGACAAGGGGCTTGTTGAATGAGCAAGCCACCACTTGCCGACGTCTCTGTGGCCAGGACGGGATCCCAGGCCCATCCCTGTGCAAGGGGTTCTCAGCTCGTCATGGGGCTGCTGTCCACAGACTGGGGAGGGGCAGGTACAACGCTTTAAAGCTACTTTTGTCTTAATTGTAAATAATTAGGATTCAAATGTTTGCCAACCGCTGATTTCCCCGTCAGAGAAAACCTGAGTGCTCTTGACAACTTGGACAGGTTGACACGTTTTCTTAGCACGGATACCCCAGAGCATAGCCCATGGGGGAGGCCTCAGTCACACCTGCAAGCTAATCAAACGTGGGCATTGGAGGTGCCACGCGCAACACTGCTCTCTGGGGCGTTCACTGCCATCTGGGCATGTGAGCATCTCAAAGGAGAAAGTGTCGGGTAGAGGGGATTCTCCCCCATCCAAGGTGAGCTGCCTTTCCTTTGACTGTCTAGGCTGGCCTAGCTGGTCTCTGAAGCCCCTTCCTGCTCTGCCACTCTGGTCCCCTTGACCCTGGAAGGCCCACCTCCAGGGACATATGTCTCCCCTTCATGCTGTCATCCTTCCAGCTTCCCTCCTGCCCCCCTCGGAGGAGGCAAGGGGAGATGCACCCCTCAGAAGGTCACTTGCGTGCCGGGCCCTCACCATCTTCACCAAAGCCTCTAGCCTGGGCTTTGAGCAGTGGCAAAATCAGAGTTAAGGAGATCAGCTTTTCAAACCGTTGCGTTTCTTAAAACCTGAGCACATGGGGCACATGAGGACAAAGGCCCCGCACCTGTGGGGCCTCCTGGGGCCAGGGAGAGGGGCAGACACTTTAGGGCAGGGGGATTCAGAGAGGGGGCACTCAGACATGAGGTGGCAGGAAGTGGAACCCAGGGGTGAGTTGGAGCTGATTAGGGGATGGGGGTGGGGAGTGGGGTGACACAGTCTGGGTGGGCAGCACAGCCCCAGCAAAGGAAGCCAGAGTCTTGGAAACTATGGCTGTTTATTCAAAAGGGGGTGATCAGTGGGTACCCTTCCAATCACACGTGGATATTTATTAAAATTGTGATACAGTGAAAATGCTTTGTGTCCTTGCATTGTGTTGGGAAAGAAACAAAGGCTGATATCTTTAGAGCTGTGTTAGTTTGTCCTAGTAGCCGCTTGTGCTTTCCAGGGTAACCCATTTTCCAAGCAGCCAGGAGAATCAACCTAATCAAACACACTTGTGGCAAAGCAGCCGTAAACACCGTGGGTGGGGGCCTCAGCCCAGAGACTCCCTCCTCTGAGAGCCGTCTCCCCTCCGCCTGTCAACCTTGATGGGAAGATGTGCATTGGGGCCAGTGAAGGCCACAGAACCTTCACAGTGACAAGTGAACAATTAGCAGAGTGGATAAAGGGGATTCACGCGCTCACTAAGGAGCTGCACTCTTACACTGCTCAGAGATATTTTGACCTTCTAGTTTATTATGATTCAAGAAAAAGTCAATATTTCTTAGCTTGCCAAGGCTGGAGGAATTTAAATGAGTTATTGAATCAAGCAGTTAATCTACCGATAACTGATTCGTTTCTTTTCAAATCCATAATGATGAAAAGCAGACAACCAAAATCAAGAAAAGGAAGTTGTTGTTTTTTCTTTCCTTAGACATTCTAATCCCGCGGGGTAGGTAGGAGCTAGTGCTGAGAGTTCAGTCTTGACTTGACGGCTAGGGCCATTCTGTTTTGCTAGGTATTTTGAAGATTTAATTAAAGCTTTAAAAGCAAAGACTTCTGTGGCCATAAAATCTGCATTCATGTTTTAATTATTTGTATTTTGATATCCCTTTATAATTCTTAGCTTCCTATCTTTTGTCGTTAATGCCACGTGGCAATCAGCCAGTTTTGGGGGCTCCTGTGATGGAGAGTAATGTTGGTGATAGATGCTTGTTTGGCCTTTCATGTAAGCGTCCTTTTCCAGCATAAGCCACTCTACTGGCTACTCTGCCCCTTTTGCTGCACAAGCTCCAGTCACCACTGCCTGAGATCACTGAGGGCACGTGTTGGGTGCAGGGGACGCCCAGCAATGTGTGGCAGGCAGGAGACCCAAAGCAACATGGCAGCTGCCATCTCCAGGGTCTCAGCCTTCTTGCCCATGGCTGCAGCCTTGGGCTGGAAAGGACTGGGCAGTGGAGAAAGGCTGCTGGTGCCACCACTGATCACATGTGTCCCAGAGAACCATATTCTGGCCTCCCTCCCTTGGCTGCTCTCTCCTCCATTCTGAACACTTAAAATACCACTTTCCCCTTACTCCACACTTCCTCTTTTTTTTTTTAAGATTTTATTGGGGAATTAGGGGAGGGGAACAGCACTGGGGAATCAGGGAAGAGGAACAGACAAGTTGCTGTCCTTTTGTTCTTTAGTCTAGTTGTGGAGGATGTTGCTTCACTGGCCCATGTTGGTATTACCATTGCGCTCTTCCCGGGTGAGGCAGATCGATCACCTGCCTCTGGATGGCTGCTCACGGCGGCTCTTGGTAGCTCACACCGGCTGCTGGCCACACATGGTAGCTTATGGCAGCCCACAGCAGCAGGGGCTGCAGCCTATGCCATCGCCGGTGACTCACAGCAGCCCAGCTCCAGGTCAAGCCGTTGTTCACCATCTTAGCTGTAGAGGGCGCAGTGTCACTGGCCCTCATGTGATCCGAACTGGGGCCCTGCTGCTCAGAGCTGGCGTCCCAAGCCAGCTCTTAACCAACGTGCCACTCGGCCGGCCCTCCACACTTCCTCTTTAGAAAGGAAAGACCCCCACCTCACCCCCTGCACAAAGCTCCTCCTCACCTCAGGTCTCCCTGAGGCATGCCAATGCTCCCTGCAGTGCGGTTATGGGAGCCTTGACTCAAGCCCTGTGTGCCACTTAGAAAGCCCGCTGCTGTCAGTCAGCAGGGTCCGTTGGTACTTGGCCACCTCCCTGTGCCTCTGTTCCACTCTTCCTGCCTCCCAGATCGGCAGGGGTGGTGTCTGAGCTGTTTGGAGTGAGCCAGCCTTAAAACCTCAGCTCTACACTACAGGGCACTGCTCTTGGCATCCTCAGCCACCTCCTGTTGGAGAGGCAGGGACTCCATGGGGCACCCGGAGCCCCCAGGCCTCGGCCTCACAGGCAAATGGAGCCTCTGCCTACTGTGACTTGAAAGAGCCACAGAGGAAGCCCGGGACCCCACCCGAGTGCCTGCAGCTGACCCTCTGTGTCTGTGTGTCTGGCAGGACTTTCTGGCCACGCATCCTGCGGAAAGAAGCTATGCAGCCGCGGGAGCAGATGCACGCTCAGCAGGGAGACGGGGGAGCCCGAGTGCCGGTGCCTGGAGGCCTGCAGGCCCAGCTACATGCCCGTGTGCGGCTCCGACGGGAGGCTCTATGAAAACCACTGTGAGCTCCACCGTGCCGCTTGCCTGCTGGAGAGGAAGATCGTGGTCGTCCACAGCAAGGACTGTTTCCTTAAAGGTGGGAAGATGGCTACGTGTCCCTATGTTTTGGGGTTTTGTGATGGTTCTTGTAATGCCGTTTTGATAAACAACCTGGGTGTGCTGAGCTTATAGGTTGAATGTGTAAAGGCAATAGCAAAAAGGAAGGCTGGAGCCTTCATCACATGACATTTTGGTGATTCAGGTTCTGCTGTATTTGCCCCCCGCCCCCGGCCCCCAAGAGGCCTCTGTCCTTGGATAGCAGAGCTTGAGGAGGCACAGCTAAGCCCTGGATCGTGCGGAACACATGTCCAGTAGGAACCAGGCCACAAGGCAGTGCCCAGGTATCTCACATAGAATGAGCCCTGGCAAGGTGGTGACAGGCCCTATGTTTCCCCCTCGGGCAGAGTCGCATGAATCAGGGGGCCACACTGCATGCAATGTGGCCAGATGGACACCAGCACAGTGGTTCCCAGCATGGCAGACACTCAAACTCCAGCCTGGAGTGGTTGCTGATGGAATAGCTTTCCACGTCTGGCCTGGCCAGAACACTAATAAGCAAGACAGGAAGGCCCTGCCTAGCCATCAGATAGTGTCCATGGAGTTGGTCCAAGAGGTCTATGCTCTGTGCTGGGGTTAGGTCAGAAGGAAGGGCAGGACAGCTGCCACCAGAGGGTTAGCGCATTGAGGACAGGGCCTGTGCTCTTCATGCTGACACATTGTCAGCACCTGGCACAGTCCTTGCACCGAGCGGATGCTCATGACTCACAGATGCCTGACGATGAGAGCGTTAGAGTGCAGATTCCGGTGTTGATGTGGCCCCAATGCACAGTACATGCCACAGCCTGTAGAAGCATCTGTGATCCTGAAACCACATGGCTACACATGAAGAAGCTGGGAAATGTGAGAAGGCAGAAGCAGCATGTGGGACATTGGAGGTGACAGAGCCCACATGTGGTGGGGCGGGAACCTACCTTGGGGTGGGGCAGAGAGGGGGCGAGAAGACTTGGGACGGAGCCCCACCAGTGCCTGCGACACTGGCTTCCAAGTCAGCAGAGCTGGGGGGCTGTCACTCTCACAGGATGGTGTGTTCTCAGCGGTGGAACACAGGTCTGGTGGCCTCCTGCAGCCTCTGCCCATACCACCTGCAGTCACATAAAGGGCCACTTTCCCACCCTCACCCATGGGCCGTGGCAGTGGAGAGCCCTGGGACATTCAGGGCTCTGGATGGTCAAGTTGACTCTCTGATGGGAACAGTCTTAGACACTTTCATGGCTGTGCTTATGATGCTAACACAAGGGGCTTCAGAAATCATGAGACACATTATAGAAATGAGACCAAGATGAGCCCAGGAAAAATGTCCCTGGTCTGCAAGCACTGCCTGGCCTCACGCCTGCCGATTCCTCACCAGCCATGAGCACTAAAATACTTGACCGGTTACTCCAGCTTTATTGGCCGTGTTGAATTTTATAGACTGATGTTCCGTTCTCCAGTTTCCAATATCCCCCAAATTGCATCTTTCTGAAGGTTTTTATTTCTGCATCAGAGTGTGCACAGCCTCCCTCACCATCGGTTATTCAAACAGCATTTCTCGTTTTAAGCGAGGGAAAAATAGCCACCACAAAACCCTGTGAGGGGTGGGGGCAGAGGTGGAGAGGATGGGCTGGGGCGGGGGGCAAGCAGATTAGGGCTCTGCTTCATGCTGATTGAGTTTATCCACCAAATCCTTCTGAGTCATTGAGTTTTTCACCGATTTTGTGAATGCACACCCACACGGTCGCTGTCCTAAAGCTCCTGTTTCAGGGGACAGCAGTACTTGTAAAGCTCCCAGAGGTTGCAGCCTGGCTCTGCCACTTCCCTGTGTGGCCTTGGGGTGCATGACTCCACTTTCCTGGGCCTTTTCCTTAGAATGGGGCCTTCAGCAGCACCAACCTGCTCTGTGCAGAGACCTACATGACACACTGCACAGAAACCACTTAGCACGTGCCAGGCGCATTACACGTGTTGGTATTAATGACACCCATCGTCATCATGTAGCTAATCCACGTGGCCTCAGGCCCAGAACAGCAAGATGCATAAACTGTGAAGGGAACACAGAGGCCGGAACAGGGGCTCTGCCCAGCAGTCTCGGGAAACATTTCTGGGCCCAGATGGCTTCATGATAGATGGAAAGTAGGTGTGGAAGGCACTGGGTATCGGGCCTGATGCTGTCCTGGAGATGCCCTCTGGGATCCAGGGCTCCCCTTTCTGCAGGCCTGGTCCTGTGGGTCTGGGCCCCACGGAGAAGCCTTCACGGCCTCATGCTCAGAAATAGCTCCAGTCCCTGGCCGGCAGGAGGGCTACCTGCCTTTCCTCCTATAGCATTCAGGGAGTGCCCAGGGCTTGGTGGCGATGGAGGCAGGCCGGCCCTAAGGAGGTGGCTTTGGGTGAGCAAGTCTCCACCTTCCCCAGAACCATGACTCCAACAGGGAGCAGGAGGAAATGGATTGACAGACGGGCTGGGTTTGGGAGTGGGGGTGGGGGGTGGAAGAAAGCATCTAAAGGACAACTTTCTGCACTCCCCACTTCCAAGATGGCAGCAAACTAATGCTATCTTGAGCTCCTTGATGATCATTTGTCTTTTATCCCAAATTTCCAGGGACTTCATTGATACAGGAAACTTAAAAACACCTTTTTTTCACCAAATAAAAATTCTAAAATCACCCATGTTTCATTCTCTAGTCCTACCAGACTTTACAAAGAAAAGTTACAACTTCATCCTTTGGGGTTTTATCTACCCCCCACCCCCAGAAGTCACTTATTAGGACAATCCTTACGAGGCTGGGGTGTGCTGAGCAGGGGGACAGTTCTGAGCACAACCTGCAGAGACACATGGCCTCACCACTCTGCAAGAGAGGAGAGGCAGCATTCTCAGCCCCATTTACAAGAGAACTTCTGGTATCACATACCAGTTGCCATGGCAATGGGATTCCTTGTGAATGCTCGGAATGAAATATAACATCATTTAGGGATCATTAGCATGGGAGAAAATCAAAACTAACTCAGAAGCATTGCTTCTGCTTGCATTTGCTGCCTTGACACCAGCTTTCCTGAAACCCGAGCAGAGCCTCTCGCCGAAAATCAGGGGTTGAGCAGGATATGGGATGTTGTATCCCTTTCTTCTTGTGGCAAAATTAGAGTTGCAGTTGTCGTTAGTGCCATATACCTCCAGAGAATACCAAGATAGTGGGTGGCATTTTCTGTACCTTTCACTTCTCACAGAGCTTGTGTTTTAAGGTATCTTGTGACATGGGTTCCTATTTGTGTTGTAGTTGGCACTTTTAGAATTATTTTTCTGACTTCGGTTTTGAGTTCACGCTTTATCTCCTGTGCTGTTCGAGAAGACAAATTGCCTTTCAGCAATCACTCACCACACCAGGGTTGTATTATCCCAGATGATATAATGTCATAGTCGGGCAGTTTTCCAAACAAACCATGAAATGATGGAAGAAAAGAGCCTGATACGGGATCAGTGCTAAACGGACTTGAAGCTTTCTCGTCCTGCATGTCCTCTGTTGGTGCACTTTGCTACTTCAGAGGTGAGTTCTCAGGCTCATGAAATCAGACCAAAAAAAAATTAACCATACTATAGGCTCACTATCAAATCTTTTTTTTCTTTCTTAAGTGTTACTAAACGCAGGAATAAAAACCCAACTTTTTCTTGTAAGTTAGCAAAGCCAATAGATCTTGATGCCAAAGAGACTTCTTTTTTCTTTTCTTCTTATTGTTCCTTTGTTGTTGTTGAGTCTTGTCACTTTAGGAACATAAATTAAGCTCCACACCTCCAGGGCATTCCCACCCTTCCGGAAGTCTTGTCTGCCCTGCCAGGGAAAGCTACTCACATCTCTCGCTGTGTCGGCCCAGCCCACCTCAGCTGGAGGCTCAGCCTCCAAGGTGTGTGAGATCCTGGTACAGGGAGGGCCCTGACGGCGGCAGGCATCATAGGGGCCTGGGTTTCACTCTGTAGGAGTGGGTCCCTACAGCAGGGAGGTGCTAGGGCCTACGGGAGCAACATGGGGAGGCCCAGGCTAAGGGAGTAGTGGGGCACAGGCTCAAGGGCACCATGCCACACCTCCTTGGATGAGACACATAAGCTCTGTGCACCTCATTTACCTCATCTGTAGATTGGGAATGATAATCGTGCCTACCTCATAGAGTGTCATGAGCTGAAAGGAGCAGTGAGCTTGTACTGAGCACTATTCTCTAAGCAGTACTGATAGTGACGCCATTGCAAACATCAGGGCACATTCCTTGAAGGGGCAGATGCAAGAGGCTATTAGAGCCATTCCCACATGTGACAATACTGTATGTGGTCTAAGACGTCGAGAGGGGGGTGCTCCAGTGAACGAGGGGAGAGAAGAGTGTGGGCCTCCATATTTATTTAACAAATGACTAGAATTTGACCTCCAAGTGATCAAATTTTAGATTACCTTCTCAACCTGCCTTGCTTTTTGATAAGTGATGTCATGAGTGATCCAAGTTCACCCAGCAAGTTAATAGAGACGCAGGAGGAAAACCAAAAGCTCCTGATTCCCGATCTAGGGACGGTTCCTGGGATGCATGACAGGCTGTCAGGAAGTGTCAGCTGAGCCTGCGGGAGGGATTGTCTGCCGGAGGATGAGAAGGGGGATGTCCCAGGAAGGGGCTGCAGAGGAGACACTCAAGGTGCATCCCAAAGGGTGAGCAAGGGCATCCAAGGTGCAGGCAGGAAGTGCCTCAAGACCCAGGGAAGGGGTGAGCGAGGGCATTTGAGGTGCAGGCAGGAAGTGCCTGCAGAACCGGGGAAGAGCAGGTGGTCAGAATGCAGACCCTGAAGGGGAAGGTGCAGCTGGGGGTAAATGCAGATGAGCAGGTAAGAGTGAACGGAGGAAGGCCTAGGTGCCACAATGGCAGCATGGACTCAAGCCGACTGGGTGTAAGATAAGCTGGTCCAACTTTCCCATTTCCCAGACAGGGACCGTGAGGCCCAGAGAGCATTAGTACCTGACCCATGTCACACAG